CCCCCCAAATGAAAAAGTTTTGGACTGACATGAGTCCTTGATTGCAGTGAGCTCGTTTGGGCCGTGTATGCTTACATCAGTGCCGCTGAGCGGAGACAGGATCAATCAATCAGGGACAGCGCCAGGGGCTGGCAGAATTGGTTGGACTATGTCAAGACCACGGCTGCCACCGTATTCTACCGCGGAGGGGGCCATGTGTGCGCAGTGACAAAGATGAACAACCAAACTTTGCCTCCCAAGCATGCAAAGCAGGGATACCAATGCGAGGGCACAAACTACCTCGATGACCCCTATGAAGGCGAGCTGTTCACCCATTTCTTGAACGCCTTTGGCGGGCTGTCTCGCGAAGATAAGGACACACTGTGGGAGGTTAAGAGGGCGAAGCTTGTAAGCGTGGAATACAACATGGGCGGAGTTGGGCCCATCACGGTCGAGCAAGGTAATTGTCCCGTCTCCCTTTACATGGGTACACTAGAGCTAACAAACATGTAAAAGGATATTGGTTCTCTAGCCATGAACCGTGGAAGGTTCTTGAGCTGCCATACTACGATGTTGATCTTGTGAGGTCAGTACGGGTCTTGTCGGCTAGTTTGGCTGTGGGAAATTTTGCTGACTCTTTTGTTTCAAAACGATAGGAGGTTATACCATAACGCGGAGAGAGCAAGGACTTGCAACTCAGTGGTGACCAAGGTTCCTGGGCTCTTTGCATCCGTCAACAACTCTACAGACCCGAACACGAATGAAATCATTGGCTACATCTCCCCTGCTGGAATCCCCTCCATCGCAAGCCAGAAAGAGCAGGAACACGATGTCATCACACCGTATGGTGTCTGGCCCACCATGGTGTTTGACAAGGCTGTTGGACTGGCGTGGTGGCGCAACATGGTTGCCGCAAAGAAGATGCAGAGTAAGCCACCTGGATGAATGCTGTCGTCGGAGATGCTAACTTGCGACCAGATCTTTACGGGAGCACTGAATCCACACGAGTAGATGGGAAACTCGTGTCGGCACTCGTTACTTGGGACAGCAAGATTACAACCGTTGTGGCCCTTTTGGGTGGTGTAGGTGACCTGGTTCGTCCAAAGATGAAGAGGGATCACATTTATCAAGATTTCATCGCGATCACAACGGTAGGTTCGACTGCGTCAGATGCACCTGAAACCCCCCGGGACTTGTAAAGACGACGACACTAATGTCCGAAACAGAAAGAGTACGGTCTAGTATTCAAGGATTTGAAGGGGGAGGACATTGCACTTTGCTTGCCCAACGAGACGGTGCCGGATGCCGGGTTGGAGGACTTTACCCTCTGTTCCGCATAGGCTGTAAAAATGATGATGGAGGGAAAATGCGATTTCTCTTGGAGGACACGTCTGGTTAGACTGCAGTTAGTCCATTGCGTATGTGAACAGTCCAAGGCTGTGAAACCGTGTAAAGGGGTTCAAATTTCAATGGCTGGTGATCGGCTCGGTTATTGCCAAGACCCACGCGGGTTGAGTCGGCTATATGGATTTTGTGGAATTTCCTCTGACCAATCATCATCACCCTGGACATGGACTTGTCTACTCCGTACTCTGTATAAGTATCAATGTTCAACGTGAACAAGCAGAGCGTCTCGATACGCACTGGGTGCCTGCAACTGATCCAATGAGCGCATAAATTTTCCGTAACATGGCAAGGCCACGAATAATCAGCCTTGGCCAAGCGAAGCGACTTCTTAAACAGCCATGGCTCCCTGCACCACCATCACCATGTCAAAGCCGATGCTTCTCAGCAAGCCAGACGAGGCGGATCATGGAAACAACTGGCTTCACTGAGAACCAGCTCCTAGTGCGCGACTCCATCAACCAAATATGTTCCCAGTTCCCGAGCTCGTACTGGCAAGAGCGCGACCAAAAAGAGCAGGATCCCAAAGAATTCCACGCCGCCATCGCTAAGGGAGGCTGGCTAGGCATTGCACTCCCAGAGTCACTCGGCGGCTCAGGCCTGGGCATATCCGAGGCAACCATGATGATGCAGACAATTGCGGAATCGGGAGCTGGCATGGCCGGAGCACAGGCTATCCACGCCAACGTCTATGCCACCCAGCCCCTGGCCAAGTTTGGCACCCAAGAGCAAGTGAACGAGGCGATACCCAACATCATATCCGGCAAGTGGCGGACGTGTTTCGGCGTCACGGAACCAAACGCAGGACTCAATACTCTGGGACTGTCGACCACGGCCCAAAAGACTGCCGACGGGTACAGCATCACGGGGCAGAAGATCTGGATTACGTGCGCGCAGGTGGCGTCCAAGATGATACTGCTGGCTCGCACCACGCCCAGAGACCAAGCCAAGAAGCCGAGCGAAGGGCTGTCCCTGTTCTGCATCGACCTGGACCGCGCCAGGCCAGGCCTGGAGCTGCGGCGGATCAAGAAAATGGGCGGCCGGGCCGTCGACGCCAACGAAGTCTTCTTCGACAACTACCAGATCCCGGCGTCGGCCGTGATCGGCCAGGAGGGACGCGGGTTCAAAATGATACTGCACGGAATGAATGCCGAGAGGTGCCTCTTGGCAGGCGAGGCGCTGGGCCTCGGATACGCAGCCCTGTCAAAAGCGGCGTCTTATGCGCGGGAGCGCGTCGTTTTCGAGAGGCCGATTGGCATGAACCAAGGCGTTGCGCACCCCTTGGCGGATGCCTATGTCAAGCTCGAGGCGGCAAAGCTAGCAACCTACCATGCGGCAAGGCTATATGACCAAAGCACCCATGACCCAAGTATCAAGCAGGATGCCGTCGGCGTTGCGGCCAACAGCGCAAAGTATGTGGCGGCAGAAGCAGCCTTCACGGCGTGCGAGAGGGCCGTTCTCGCCCACGGAGGCATGGGATATGCAGCCGAGTACGACGTGGAGAGGTGGTTCAGGGAGTGTCTTGTCCCTAGAATCGCGCCTGTGAGCCGGGAAATGATTTTGAACTATATAAGTGAGAAGGTGCTGAAACTGCCGAGAAGCTATTGATTGCGTGTAAGTTGGGATTCGGGAAGCAGGGGAGGCTCGGAGGGCAAAAGGATTGCTACAATAAAGACATTTATGTTGAAAAAAAAAAGAAAATAATAATAGATAAAGAAAAATCATTCTTGCAGCAACTCATCACCCGACCTTTGCTGCTGTAAATCTTGGATAATTTCCTCGTTTGCGATGGGAATGGAATGGTGGTCCAAGGCATACATGTCATCGGCGTGTCTGACGGAAGGAGAGGTCCAGGATGTCGTCAGTCGCCACACCGCAGTTGCAGACACGGCAGTGACTTCTCACTCTCATTCTCACTCTCTCACACACACGGCATTCCCTCTCACTCACCAACCAACTCACACGCTCTCTCACCCGCCGCGACCACAACCCGTCCAAAGTAACCGATGCGCACCCTCCACATGCATTTTCCTCGCAAGCCTTGGATGCACAGTCCAATGTCCCTCTAAGAGAGCACCCGCACCTCCCCTGCAGGCGCCATGCCGCACACCGCACCATCCGGCCAGAAACCCAAGAAGACCCGCGCAAAACACGCCTGTCGTGAATGCAACAGCCGTCGTGTGCGGTGCGATGTGACCGAAGTCCAACCCTGCACGAATTGTGCTGCGGCCGGGGCCAAATGCGAGGTTCTTCCATCTCGCCGCGGACGGTACGCCACCAGTGTGAATTGGTGAACTTGAGGCAACACGTCGAGTCGGGTTCCCTCTGAGTCGATGCTAATTGACCACGACAGATATCCGCGCCGGTCTCGCCGATTGGAACCCGCGCCGCCTCCCGACACCAGTGTGTCATTGAGCCCAACGCGCACCGTCGACACCAATGTGCGGCCGTCCTCCAGTCTTGCCGGCGACTCTCATCTGCCCGACTTGGAACCGCGGTCAAGCCCAGTCGTTGCAAGCGAGGACGCGGGCGCCGGCCCCAGCAATGCGACGGCCTCGGCGGCATCCGCAGCCGGCACGCTCTTCTTTGGCGAGTCCAATTTCCTGACGCTCGTGCCTGGCAACGAGGCGGCCGCCTTGGAGGGCGCCGGCAGTGCCTCGAATCAAAAACCGCGACTCACATTCCCGATCCCCGGAAGCCCCGGCTCGCAATCGCAGGTGGAAGGCGCCGGGATAAGCGCCGGCACCATGCGATACCTGCGGGACGAGGGCGCCCTCACGCTCCCGGATCTTCAGACTTGCCTCCCGGCTCTCCAGGCCTACTTCACATGGTTCCACCCAAGCTTCCCAATCCTGGACCGGGCAGAGGTGACCAGGCGGCTGGCTGCCATGGATATCTCGCGCTTTCTGCTCCAGGCCATGCTGTTTATAGGCGCCACGTACTGCGACGACGACACCATCGTAGCCATGGGGTTCAAGGATCGATCCGAGGCCAAGCGCATCCTCTACACGAGGGCGAGACTCCTCTTCCATGCCGATTGGGAAAAGGACGAGATTATTCTGATACAGTCTCTATTCCTCATGAGCTTCTGGCGTGGCGGCCCGGCAGATGTCCGTGATGTCAGATACTGGCTCGGCGTCGTCATCACCCTATCCGAGTCGTACGGACTGCATAGATCGTAAGTCAGCGCCCGTCCAGACCAAGATGCGAAAAACGCTCTACTCACATTTCACTCCCCCTCCCACCTTAAGACCGCGATCAATTTCGAAAAGCACACACATGAATCGGATGCGACGGAGAATATGGTGGTCCATTTATGTAAGTTGCTGCATTTGTTGCCATGGATCTGCTGGGAAATAAACCCCCTCCTGGGGGGGACATTGGACTCAACCCCTGACCAGGCATACAGGTGCGTGAGCGCCAGGTTGCGGCAGCACTGGGGTTGCCCAGCCGTATAAGAGATGAAGACTGCGACATTGAGCCTCTCAGCGCCACTGATCTCGAGTCTGAGGCCTTGTGTGCCAACAATCCGCTGTTCGGGTCGTGCCAACCAGAGCACATTACGTATACCATCAAAATGGTTGAGATTGCCAGGCTCCGTAAGTATAATTCCAGAACCCGCCAGTTCCTGACGGTACGAAAATTTGCAGAATGATTTTTTTTTTTTTTCAAAAAGGAAGCTAATCATGTTCCAACAAGTCGGTCGTGTCATTGATCTACACTTTGCTCCTGGCAAACGAGCTTCGACGGCCGGCGACGTCAAAGGCCTTGACAACGCCCTGGAGGCATGGAAAGACAGTCTGCCAGAAAACATGAAGTATGCGACAGAAGAAGGTAGCGAGTCGGTATGGACATGTCTACTGCACCTAGCATACAAGTGAGTTGCACACAAAAACACCATGGCCAATCTAGGCTGACCTCGTGGTGACGCAGTCATCTCCGCATTTTGATACACAGAAATAGTTTCCTACGATACGGAGAAGGGGACAAGAATAACCAGGTCGTCACCGCTGCTGCCTGCAGGATAAGTAGAATCGCCGAGGACATGTCCACGCATGGCACACTGCGATACGGACAGATGCACTTGTAAGCTCGGTCTGCCGTCGATTCTCTCTTTTTTCTTTGCTTCTTTGTTTATATAAATTGCCTATTCGACTAATGCCCGTGTGTAGAATCACTAGTCTCTTTGCAGCTCTCTGCATCCACGTCATCAGTATTCGGCGGGGAATGGGCGTTTCAAGACGAATCGCAGAGCATAGAGCACAGATGTGCCTGCTTTGTCTCAAGGAGATACAAAAATACTGGAGGATCAACAACAATGTCCTTGACTTGTTCCTGCAATACCTGGATCGATCTATTGCCGAGAGACTGCACGCTGCGCAGACGGACGGCTCTAGTAATGACGCCACGACGGGGTCAAAACGGCCGGACCCTTTTATTGGGAGCAATGGCGATGCATCGGCTGCGCCGTCTCGAGGGGACCCGGTGCTGTCGCCTAGTGCGGAGCAACTGCGCAGCCAGGACGACTTGTTCCAAGACCAGTACTTCAATTTGGTTAATGGTCATTGGGAAGGGGACGATGCCTTGGGAGACTTGGGGTTGTTTTTGCAAGCCGACGACTTTTCTCCCGTCAAGGGCCTGAACTTTCTTGGTCGGTCTCTGTAGCCGAACAAAATGGGATTGTGCTGTGTCAAGACTCTGTCTTGGAAACTGTGCAAGGGGTGAAACTTTTCAAGCACCATGTTTTATCTGCTTGCCAATATGTACATATAGACACTTTGGCTATGGACAACCTGCAGAAGAAATTGTTTACAAATACCATCTAAACTCGGGTGAATTAGGACCATCCCGCAGCTTGAGAGTTGACACGTCCTGAGCCTTGAGCTTGATGCCTGCCCCGCGGTCACGTCTTCTATTGTCAAAAATCATGTACAGCCCCAAAAGACACGCAATAAGGGCGCCAGAAGCACCGAAGCCGGCCGCGGTGACGAGGGCCGGCATATACTTGGGGGCGTCGTGTTGTTGGAAAATGTTACTGGCCACCAGTCCCATGACGTTGGCCAAGGGCACACCCACTGATGTGAGTGTAACTCGACGGCCCTCGTGGGCTATGTTGTTATTGTACCATGTCGAGAGGAGGACCGACGGCGCAGAAGTGCCCCAGCACATCATGAAGGTCGCAAAGTAGGCAACTTGAATTTGGGCCTGGACGTCGGTAATGGATGCGTAGATGATGAATCCAGAAAATGTCAAGGCGAAGCCGAGGACAATGAACGGAAATCGAACACGGGTAAAGTCGGAAGCAAAAGCCAACAGAACCAGAACAGCAGCGCCCGTGACGCTCGGCGCGACGGTGTAGAGGTTCGTCTTGACGGTAGAGTAGCCAAGCCGCTGGATGATTTGAGGCAAGAACAGTGCCACCGACTGGAGCGGCACGCCAAGGCAGACTTCGATGGCCAGGAAGGCATACGACGAAGGGTACTTGAATATCTGCAGGGCTTCCTTGAAGCTGAACTTCTCCAAGACGACCGAGGATGAATCGACTTGGATACGGTGGAACGCCAGTGCCTTCTCCTCCTCGTTGAGGAACTTGGCCTCGGACGCACTTTTCGGCAGATACCAGAAGGCGAATATGGCGAAGAGCACGGTACCCGATCCCTCAATCAAGAAGAGATAGCGCCAAGGATACATGCTGGACTTGATGTGGAACACACCAAAGGCAAGTAGTCCGCTAAAGGCATTGCCGATATTGGAAGCAGCATAAAAGATGGCCAGCCGTCTGGCCAGCTCGCCACGTCGATAGAAGGTCGTCAGGTAGTAAATGACGACAGGGAAGAAGGCGGCCTCTGCCATACCGAGGAACCAACGGACCGCAAAGATGCCGCCAAAGTTCTGGCAGGCTGCGGTGAGAAGAGTCATGGAGCCGAATGTGAACATCATGACCGGCAGCGCACGAGCTGCGCCGTACTTCTTGGCGAGCATGGCGAAGGGAGGGGCGAAGATGACGAAGGGCACGAAGAAGATGGATACGACGAGGTTGTATTGGCCGTCTTTGAAGTTGAGATCTGTCGGGGGGGGGGACTGTCAGTGGGCAGGCATTTGAGGGGGTGTTTTTCTGTTGTGGGCAAGTGTATTTACTTTGGCTGAGGCCATTTGTTTGGGCGTTGCCGAGATTGCCTTTATCAAGGGCGTTGAACAGGTCTGTATGAAGCAGAGTTAGTGTGAGTGCTCGATGTCATCCAAGACGTGGGAACGAGCTGCAGTCAAAAGAAAGGAGCTTACACATGACTACCAGGACTGGCAGGATACGAAAATCAAACTTGAAACACAGGCTGCGTTCGGCTGCATGGTCGACCACGGCCGTGCAATCGCTGAAGACATTGTTCTTGAGACACTCATCCTGCTCGTGGACATGGCTCTCCACGGCCTCAACATCTGCAGCGGTTGCTCCCATGATAAGGTCGGCAAGCACCGACTTGGCTCAACGGAGCAAAGTAGAGCCCAGTGTAAAATCAAGCTGTCTGGTGTAGAGGATGGTGGCCCGAGGACCAGAAAGTGGTGAGTGTGAGTAGAGCAGAGCGTTGGCAAGCGTCCGGGAGGACGTGCTTAGTTTATAATCCAAAACAACCACAGCAATTGGATGTGCGAAACACCAGATTTGTCAGAAAAGATGCAGCTTTGTGCAGATGACACTGCTCCTCAGTTGGGGTGCCGCGGGATACGCTTTCACGTCGTCCATGGCCTTATCTTCTTGAACTATCAAGCGTCCGGTCCGTCGCTGATTTGCAGACGGAAGGAAGGGCTCAGACCTGCAATCTCTCTACTGCTAGATACGCCATAACCCGACTTTCAGCTAGCGCCACACGTGTGACCCTTGCCACGAGATACTCCCACCCCGATGTTGATTGAGGGCGAGGACAGCGTAGACGGATTCTAGACGGCGAGTCGATCGCTCGCCTGCTTACTCCTTATCGACATCCAGAAGAATCAATTGATAGTGCTAGCTTTTGATCCCCGCAAAGTCGACAAGCCACGGTGGGGGGCCCCTTGCAGAGTACTCAAGTACCTAGGTACGTACTTTTGTACAGGTACTAGCACTTGAGCCAATCGCTACGTGGGGGTCGACACCTTCAGCAGCAGGCTTGCCGCACGGTGGCTGTCTCTCCTCGCATGGCTTGGAGGGGGGTCATTCTTCGGGACAAGTCAAACCCATGCCAGATGATGCCGACAGGTTCGGAGCCAAGAGCTTCGAGAAGTGAAAGACCCCCCCGTGGAAGATGAGGGGTCAAGTTCTAGTATTATCGATTGGGAGCTCCATAAGGACTTGGGAGTGTCGTCATGTGAGATGCTGCAATCCATTCAAAACCGCCTCGTCACTTCCCAACAACCTTGGACTTTTACACGCTTCACTCCATTTCTCGGCCTGGCATCTCTCAGCTCCAAACCGTCACCTACTAAGCACCCAAGACATCGCAATGGCCTCCAAGGTTGCTGTTAGTACCGATAAGGCTCCCAAGCCTCTCCCCGGCATTTACAGCCAGGCCATCAAGGCCAATGGCATGGTCTTCGTCTCTGGCGCTATTGCCTTGGACGCCGAGACTGGCAAGCTGGTTGACGGCGACGTCCAGGCTCACACTGTAAGTTTCTCGACAAGCCTCATCTCATCAGTCATACTGTGGAAGAGCACGATGCTAACGAGTCCCCCAGCACCAATGCATCAAGAACCTCTCTGCCATCCTCGAAGCCGCTGGCTCCAGCATTGAAAAGGTCGTCAAGGTCAACGTCTTCCTCGCCAACATGGATGACTTTGCCAAAATGAACGAGGTCTATACCACCTACTGGGGCGATGTCAAGCCTTGCCGAACGTGAGTCGGTTCTGTGTAGCTTTTGCCCCTTTGCCCTTTTGCCCCTCGCATTGCTGTGCGCCGTTTGTCTGTCAAAGCTACCCCTCAGTACCCCTCTCTCACTGAGAGTCATCTCGCGTTTCGTTGTAATATCGATGGATTGTTCTGCTTAGCCAGACCCACTGAAATTGTCATGTCATGCCAAGGGCGCATCGAAGACAAGATCCGCGCAAAAAGCACGCGCGGGGTGCGAATGCGTCCAAGTACATAATATGCTGACAGAAGATGAACAGATGTGTTGCCGTCAAGACCCTGCCTTTCAACACCGATGTTGAGATTGAATGCACGGCCCTGTTGTAAGGGAGAGCGTATGGGGGAACAATGCAAAATTGGGCAGCGAGACATGGAACCAAGACTAGGAGAAAGTAAAACAACGCCGCATGAATAAATTGCCCAGAAATCATCAACTTTGACGATTCCAAATTCATCGTGGAAAATCACCGCAGCTGAATGTACTCGATACTGCTCCTCATGATGCAATGTGATAGATAGTTTGAGGTTGGCATGGCCAGCTCAAGCGTGGCCGCCTTGGAGCTTGGAGCTCGGAGCTCGAATCTGCTGCAACAATTGCCGGCCGACATGGGTTTGGAAAGCCCTCGGAAGCCATGTTTAATACTACCAAGAGAATATGGACCAGTTGACTGCTTTTGTGCTGTTGTGCTACCTCACATCGTACGACATGCCTACCGGTACTTAAGTAGGTACCTAACCTAAGTACCAAGGTAGTTACAATCTCCAGACCCCCCAAATCGGCAGCAAATTATCGGGTAACGTTCCAATAGTAGCGCTCGAAATCTGATGAAGCGCAAATTGAGCCTGGGTTTCGACAGTATTAATTGCATATAAGCACCTACCTACCTAGGTAGGTATGTGAGCATCACTTCATGAGGGTGTCCAACTGGTCCTTGACTCCCGTCCCTGCTCTCAGGCGTGCTAGTGTGGGGGTCTCCTCAGGGTCCAGTGTCCCATGTCCAGATATCATCGCAACCAGCCGCTCGCATCTAGTTCAATTCCTGTCAATTATCAAGTTCTGCCGGCAATTCAACTTGTCGAAAAACCACAACGTTCTAGAATTCTTCTCCACTCATAATTGACTTTCTACCACCCCCTACACCTAACCCAGATATCGACAATCTCATCTTCCTTGCCGGCCTCATCCTCGTCCACGACAAAGTACCAGCAAAAGTGGCTGCTGGTGATGCAAGCGTGGTTGGGCCAGAGCCGGACCTTGTCGCCAACCCCGGGAAGCTCCTGGTCTGGCTGGACAGGCTCCGACTTTGTATTTCCCGACCTCCAGGTGAGGATACCGTGCTCCTGGGAGAAACGACCAACCATCCAACCGCGGAAGTCCTCAACGTCGCAAGCTGGCAAGCCAACGCCTTTTCGACCCCACGGACTAAGCATTGCCATGCCCTCGTACGCCTTGCAAGACTCTCTAGCCAGCGCTATGCCCCCCGAGCCGATTAGAGCCTCGGGTGTTCCGTTGGCTCCCCGTCCGGGGTAATTGCTATGAACTTCTGCCAGGACCGTCAGGGCAATATCTCCCCAGGACAGTCTCGAGGCAGAAATGCTGTGAGCTGCCAGCTGCTGCAAGTCCAGGGTTGGATAGACGCCGGCATGGATCTCAACAAGATGCCCTTTGCTCCTGACAGTGGCAAACAGGTCTGAAAGCGCTTCGACTTCCGCCTTGAGTTGGACAGGGACATTATCTTGCCCTTCTTCAGCCGTGGTGATCAAGTTTTGAACAGCCAGGGCTGTCGG